CATTTTTTTTTCGATCAAAAAAGGCGCAAAAATGACACATAAGAAGCCGGATGTGACACCTAGATCATTATTGATCAAAAATAATCTGGCGAAAATTGACACATAATAAGTAGCCTTCCTCGGTTTTTTTTTTGGCGGTAACCATAGTGGTGGTCGAGTAGATCATGTTGGTGTCGAGAACCCTCACTCCGCGCAAGGGGGATGATCGCACCACGTGTTAAAATGGTCAAGCACCCTCGAGGCAGTTACATAGTGCTTACAACTGTCTATCGAAGTGAAAGCACCAGAAAATACAATAAGTCATACGCAGCTGTCATCCGTACGCAAGGAAGTAAGCACATGATGCCGTACACCCTTAGCAGGATGCAGCGTACTCTTCATGCGACTCGCCGAATATCTCACGGCGCTTCGCGCTTGGTGATGTGAGAGCCTGGTCCGGTGAGAACCCGGCGTGCTCCGTCCCGGCTTTGTAGGGATGCGAGGTCAATGGTCTAACGACTACGGCATGCACGACTATGNCGCGGTCGATGCTAATAAAAAAAACACACACAAGAAAAAAAATATCACTGCAAAATACACAACACGCACGCACCTTATTTTTCTCGCTCGAAACTTGTCGCTTGAGCCCCTCCACCAGCGGCCCGAAGTGGTCCACCTTCCGCTTCAGCCTTTCTGCCTTGACCTTCTCGAGCAAGAGTTCGCTTTCGAGGCTGCGGATGCTGCCCTCCTCCGGCTCGGGTTGCGTCTCCTCGGNGAAAAAAAATATCACTGCAAAATACACAACACGCACGCACCTTATTTTTCTCGCTCGAAACTTGTCGCTTGAGCCCCTCCACCAGCGGCCCGAAGTGGTCCACCTTCCGCTTCAGCCTTTCTGCCTTGACCTTCTCGAGCAAGAGTTCGCTTTCGAGGCTGCGGATGCTGCCCTCCTCCGGCTCGGGTTGCGTCTCCTCGGCGACGACTGGTATCCCGGCAGACGTGAAGAGGCTTACGTTGGTTTTTTCACCGAGTTTTTCAGAAGGGCCAACTCCTCCTACATGGCGCGGGTTCTCTCTTCCGTCTGGCGCTGTCCCGCCACCGCCGACTTCTTCTCTCGCCCAATGGCTTGTTTCTCTTGCTCGGCCTACTGTTTCTCCTGCTCGGCCTACTGTTTCTCCTGCTCGGCCTGCTGTCTCCGTGCCCGCTCCGACTTGAGCTCCTCGTCTTTCTCGCGCACGAACTCCAGAGCCATGCTGCAACCAGCTTTGCTCTCTTCCTCACGTTTCCAACTTTTTGGCCAGCTCCTCCTTCGTTCGTTCCAGCGCTTTCTGCGCGGCGGTGATGCTGCCGCGCTCGATAGCGCGCCGGGTCTTTGCTGCTGACGCGGCAACCATACACTGCTCCGTCCTCTCAAACCTCGTTTTGTTTTGATTCAGCTTTCGAGCAGCGCGCCTCCTGCTGCCGAACCTCGCGGATCTCGATTTTTTTTGGGAGGGTCTGCTGGTGTGGGCGCTGCAGCCGCACTGGAGAGGCCGTTTTCAGACATGTAGATCTCGTGGTTGGCTGATGAGATTCGGATGCGGTTTGTTGTGTGGAATAGCTGTGACCCAAGGTAGAGGGCTGTAAGGTCGCTTTCACGAGAGGAGCAAAGGTCGCCTTGGGCGTGGAGCAAAGAGCCCCAAAACACATGTTTTTTGGTGTTGTTCGTCCGCCTTTGAACTTTAAGAGAAAACCGACCTGACAGCCACCCCTATTGGACCTGTGTCCAGGTGTGTAACGCATGAAGAGCCATGCTGTTATCTGGACGCAGAGCTGCCTGCACAAACAAATTGACTTGATGTATAGCTTATTCAGTATTAACAGCGGGATTCTCAAGAGCCAAAAAAAGAACCAAATCCGCGCGTCCCCCCTCAAATTTTGCCGAATGGACCGGACGTTTTTTTGGCCCCAATTTCCGCCGCTTTGACACCCCTAACGGTGCTAACGTCGAAGTTTGGTACTCACGAGAGCTTGTCAGCTATATTTCGCTTTCACCCGCACATTTCGTAAATTCTTCCCCCTATGGGGATTCGAACTCACGACCTCTGCGACTAACGGACTACTAGGATACCACTAGACCGGGGCGACCGGGATTCACCTTGGATACCGTCAGATCGACCGAGCCACCAAAACAGCGACAAAAAAACAAAACACTCAAGTTACACGAGTTTTATCCATGAAAGTCGATACAGTATTACTTCAACAAAATACCTAAAATATTTGCAAATGCATAGGTGAGGCAATTATTCCGTAATGTGCGGGTGATTTTTTGGTTCTTTTTTTTTTCGAATTTCCGCTAGACACTCCTCGATTACCTTTGTTGCCATTTGATTGGCCGACCACTACTGCAATGAAATTTTTTTAGCTGAATGTGAGAGCCAGTTGTTCGGCGCGTGCGGGTGGAAACGGGTATTCACATCCTGCTACTAACAGTTTTCAGCAGATGACAAGCTCAAGCATGGTGTTGTCTTCTTCGCGGTGCTGAGACTCTTCTCCTTCGAGCACTTCGGGCAGTGCTAGACATCAACATCAAGAACGACACCACCCACAAACCGTTGAAGCGCCTGCGGCACATCACCTCCACTTGCTTATCCACGTGCACCGCGCCAGGTACTACGGACGCTAGTAGGTACCATACTACTGAGCAGACACCGGGACAGCTTCAACGCAAACACAAAAACAACAAACATCAACCAATCGAGCGCTGCTGATTTCGGCAAGCGACGTAGGGTAGAGCGAGCTTCGCTCGAAAAAGAGCACCCCAGTGGTAGCACGGGCGAGGAGCAACACGGCATTTTCGATGTCCCACGACATGGCGGCGCAAATACTTCCCCCCCCCACGTCGTGTCCATGTTGTTCAAGTTGAGAAGAGCAACCAACACACGTGACGGTCTCAAACGCACACGCTCTCTACGAGCCTACCGGTGCTTAAACCCGCTCTCTCGCTCTGAATACTGCCGTTGACGCATCGCAGAAGAAGGGTGTTCGCCTCTGACTACAGGGACCCTAATGAACCGGTAAACATCACCTGACACCTTGCAGATCTTAGCAGTAGCAGAAAGAGAGGCATCCCCTCCCCCTCCCCTCCTTTGTCGCTGTTTCTCGCCGCGAAGAATATTAGGCATGGTTGTGATGGCCTCCAAGACTTTAGCTCTAGTACCGTTTGTTCTTGACTTTCCAGTATGCCCCAGTTTTCAACGTTGTTTGCTTTTGTTGTTGTTGTCCTGACAAAAAAAAAACGTTCCACTAAAAAGTCTCTGCTCAGTACCTTCTAGCGTCGGTACCAAGTACTGCCGACGCGGACGGACGCGTTTCGTGGCCACAGGCTGACTTCCCCAAGAAGGGTACACAAAACTACTTCGGCAAAAACCAAGAGAAAAAAAAAAATCACACAGAACCCCCGAAACAGCATCAACTTCATTTGCAGAGAAAGTTATGCGATTGGCCAAACACCAGAATCTACGACAACAGGAATAAGGAAAAACGAGGCATGATTTGCGAGGGAGGAGTTTTGAATGGCCAAACAGCCGAATCCACGACAACACCAATAAGGAAAAACGCGGTATGATTTGCAGAGGGAGGAAACTTGATTGGCCTACGACAAGAAAAAACGCCGCGCACCTCAGTACGTCCGTCCTCGTGCACGAGCTCGAGCAACATGTCCTCCCCCTGGCCGTTGGTGGCCCCTACCGTCGCGGGGAGCCATCCCTCCACCTCGTCCTTGACGAACACCAGCTATCCCGACTCGAGCGACATCCTTCCTTGTCCCCTACCAACCAATCAAATCAAACCAAAGCGCTGGAACCCCCGTCGCCCTTTCCAACAGCCTTGTTCTCCTTGTTCCTGTCAAGGTCGACGCCGCTGCCGGCTGCCTGCTCTCAAGACCTTGCGCTTCCTCTGGGACAGCAGCGCTACGGCAGAGAGTTCCTGCAGCAGCAGCAGCAGCAGCAGCAGCAGCAGCAGAGGGACACCCCACGCACGCGCACGCACACAGGCTACAAAGCACCAATCCAATCCACAGGCCCCCCGACGGGTCCCTTTTTTCGGAATAATGCACGACGAGAGGAGGGAAGGGCAAGGTGTGTGAAAGAAAAGCACGCAAACGGTTAGTCGCGGGAGGGAGGAGCCCCACTAGCAAGCACACATGCATACCCTACGGGTAAAAAAAGCTACGTGACCCCTAACCTCGAGCAAGTTCGGGAAGGTCGGCCTTGTTCAGATAGAGTTCTCCCAACAACACCAGGCCTGTTCTTTTCGGGTATGCATGCTGCTACTCGGCGTGCAAATTTGGTAGGTGTATGCATGGAAGCATCTAGCGACAGGTCCGATGTTGTGTTCTTTATTTATTCTCTGAACGGAATCTCGGTGTATCACGCCTTCCCAGTCTGAAACTCACAACTGGGCAGGCAGACGGAGACAACAGTAGTTTCTCGGAAAGGCAGACCAACTCGCTTTGTCGCAGGATGCTCGCATCAAAGAAACCCTCCTCTTCATGCTAACAATTAGAATGCCCCGCCCGTCACAGCCAATGAGGCGAGCACCGGAAGGTGATGAAGAGGCGAGCACTGAGAGGTGACGGTCAGGCGAGTTAATCTGCGTTTCTCAACCCTGCTCGCAGCAGGTCCTCCTGTGTACAAAAGGCACGTTGGAACTCCCAAGCCGAGGAAAATATTCCATACCAACAGTGTCAATGCTGGCACGCGCCCGGGACTTTTCCGGCGTTGAATACCCCAAGAAAAAAAACACGAATACGTACAGCAATACGCTGCTGTTACAAGGACACAAAACAAAATGAAGTGCCTGACAAAAATTGGCACGCCTAATATAGCGGCTTTGGTACTTGAGAGAAATTCGAACCCGCAATCTGGAAAGTCAGAGATCGGTAAGAGGTTCTTTTACAGTGCAACAGCTGTCCCGAGGTGATGTCGAGGTTCACACGCTCAAGAGGGTATTGTACACGGGACGAGAAAAACAAGCCTTCCTGTTGACAGTTGCGTGCCGCACCTCGAGTTCTGGGCGATGTGATGCTCAATAAATTTAGCATGGACCCCCGCTTTAATTAAAAAATTGCAAGGACCATCAGAAACAAAAAATCACAGAGGTTCCTGCAATATAGTTTGAAACAGAGAGGAGAGCGAGGTGCAGCCGGCGCGTTGGGCAAACAACTTTTAAACATGGCCATCCATTACTAGAGCATCACACGGGGAGAAGGATCTTGCGCGATCATGCACACGCGCCAGGGTTAATACGAACCAGCACAACGCCGCCCATGCTGGGGGGTTGAGCTCAGGATTTAGAGCGCCCTTGACGGCGAACAAGTTGTTTGTGTACTCCTATTATTTTGCCACATAAAGCTCTACATCCACGGCGCAAACCGGCTGACCAATCAAAACGTGCCAGTCTCAAGGCGGCTAACACTAGAACACCCAGAAGTACGGGAAAGGTTTGTCTGCTAACGCTACGAAGCATCCTTCTACTTCATTGCGGAGGCATTGGGCCCCGCAAGTGTGTGTGTGGTGTGTCGTATTTAGTAGTAATATAGCATCGACCGAGCCAACCGGCTGACCAATTACAAGACGCCAGGCTCAGTGCGGCTGAAAACAAAAAATGATTTTAATGGCCTTGGACCTGCGACCCCGGGGGCGTCATGGGGGAGGCTTTAAGTTGCTCTCCGGATTAAAGGCAGAAACGGTAGCAACAGAAGATTATTGCTGTGATGCCCATGATATTTTCTGGATGTCGACAACAAACACCAATACAACAGCTGGCAAGAGGGAAGTTCAGGTCTGTTTTCGTTGCGGGTGTACGAAATAAGCCGAACCAACCGAGTCCCCATTTTTCGCGCTTGCTGGACGAACAAATATTATTTCTTAGCAATTCAGGGCATTCTGGGAATGCATCTTTACGCGGAAATACGCCCGTCTTGATGCGCGCGGATCTTGATCTTGGCTACAACGTGCACAAGAGCGCTACTTGACACTTTGGAAGAATGTAGAAACTAAATAGTTGCAACAACAATGTTGTTCATGTTTATTTGATCTATAGAACATGACCATGATCACAAGGTGCTCAATCGAACAAATGCGTAGAGCTTGCTTGACCCATGGCAACAGGTGCTCGGTCGAGGGGAAGTTGCTCTGTCGTTAACAAATCAGCAGTTCGACTTAGGTTGGTGACCCCTAAAGGAAAATGAGAAACGAGGCAAGCGCAAAACGAGAAAAAACGGTTGGTTCTGAATGGCGGCATGTACCGCTGCTGCATTCCATTTCGTTGTGGCTCTAAGTCAATCGGGCTCGATCCGCTCGACCTGTCGATGGACTAAAGATTGCAGTCAAACTACATCAGGGGTCTCGTCTGTTCTGCGGACAAAGAACATGCTCTTGTGGCCCAGACGTCCAGACCAGAAGCGGACGTGTGCGACGCACCCTCTGCCGTTGTTGTGCTCATGCGAGCAGCAGCAGAGGGATGTTCTCTCAACAGCGCGGTTGGTGCGTAGGCGGCGGGATGTTCTTGCCGGTGGTTGCAGTGGTGGTGGCGGATGCCAACATGAGGGCTCTCGACGCTGTTAACTCGTTACCTGCTGATAAAAGGTTGGCAAGACACCGGGCTGCCGTCGAAATGGAAAACACCGTCCGCGTTGGTCGAAAATTACAGGACCAACTCAAGAATATCCATTGACGCCACAGAGGTTGGGATCCCCCGCCCCGCAGGCGTCTCTGGCGTCTAGTTGCGTCAACCCTCGGAAGAGATGCTGGAGCCGGCTTTCTCCAAACGTACTTCTCTCCAGAGAAAATGTAGAATACCGCGCATGGAACAACAGTCTTGATGTCAAACGGAGACAGAAATATTATTGGACGAGGGGTACTGCTGCTGTAGTGAGGCCAGGAGAAACACCACCGGAAAACTAGACAGCAAAGTACCAGCCCTCCCGCCCGGCGGGCGTGTCGGCGTGCGTTGGAGGAGGGAAAGCGGCGGCCAGCACAACAACGACCAACTGCGGCGTCTGTGTTTTACGAACGTTAAACCCGTAGCTGGGACCGTCGCTTTTCCTTGCTCGGAACAGAACCACATTGACCAAACCGAATACGAGTAGCTAGTTCTGAGACGCACACAAAGCATACAAACTCACACACGTAGGGCGCGTGAGCGAACGAGAGGGTGATAATCGTGGACCGTTGTCGGCGATGCCAAGAGGAACGGCTGCGGGGAGCTACAATTTTCGAAGCTCGATTTCTCAACTGCAGGAACAGTCACAGCGCCGAAAACGACGGAGTTGAAACTGTCTCGTCGAGAGCTTTCCAAAAATTAGGAGAAACAAATATACACACAGAAAGACTACCCGTTCGAGGTATAACTACACTCGAAGGGGATGTGTTGAAGTCTTTACAGTGAGTAGAGGAAAACCAGCTGGGTACTTGACTTATTTCGAGTTTGTTTAAGCCTATACACTGATGATTTATATCAGTGATACCAGTTGGTGCTTAGCACAAAAACATCTGCGTAGGTACATTTACATGTGGCCTGCACAGGGAACACGGCGCAATATGTCATGTTGACAAATGTTTTGTTTCATTTACGCATCCCCGTCGTCGTGGAGTAATCGAGCTTTGAAAATCGGTCCAGGGGGTGGGTTATCTTGTGTTATATACGGTATTATTATTTAAACAAGTAAGTAACACTTCCTGCATCTCTCTGCTCCTCCACGAATCCTGTTCATGGGTGCTCCCCCCCCGGAGCTGACACACATAAAAGAGCTCAGACTCACCTTGAGTGATCGTGCAAACAAGGTCGTCCTTCTCAGCTTCTGATTTCCCGGTGTGCCCTTGTTTCCCGCTCTCTCGGCTGTCTTCTCCGGTCGCTGTTGTGGCGTTCATTCACGGTGCCCCCGCACAACTGCCCGCGAAAATCCGCTGAACCCCGGCCAGTTTCGAAGATTTCGGAGATCTCGATTCGCATGCGGGTGTTTGAGTTCCTTGTTGGTTCTCTCGCGCACTCGAAACGCGCGACGGGGGGCGCGGCTGGCGCGGGGAAGTCACATAGGTCGCCGAAGAGGACCGTTGTCGTCTTGATTGACGACACCCACTCGTTTGTCTGATCCTTTTCCCGAGAGGTTTGTCGGCCCCTGATCGACGACAACACGAAGACGGCAAGATAAACGGTAGGATATAGTCTAGGATCCACCTGGTCAGGTCTCCACGCGTACATAGCGCCATTTGGAGCCATTGCATGCTTCCTCGTACATGGTATGTATATTTCTTGGGAAAACACTCTTTTGCATGGCATGATGCCGGGTGCGCACGTGGTTGTTGTGCTGCCTCACACCGCGCACTGCTGGTTTAGCTCTCGCCATCTCACGTACGTACAAATACCAACCTCACACCCCACGGCGTCCCGTCGCCCTGAGAACGGATCTTTCGCCATGAACGCTTGATTGACGTTTTTCTCCTCTCGGATCCGACATTCCCCCCAGTTTCAGCTACCGCCCTTTTGACGCTATGCTGAGAAGTTGAGTATGTACTTGAATGTGTTCAGCATTCATCTTTCCCGTCTCTCTGACCCAATGCCATGCTGCTGTGCGACAGATATTTATAGAAGTACACTGGTCCGCCTTGCAGCTTGCTGTAGGCTGAACAAGTGTAGAATGCACAAGAGAACCCACGCACCATGCGGTACCCATGAAGGACATTGCACACTTTTTCACACCTACCAGTCATAGATGTGCAGGGTCTGGTGTGCGTCGTCAGCATGTCTCGGACTTGGCAACACGTTTCTGGTGCTGCACCTTTATCCTTTCTCTGTTGTGCTCAGAGAAACAAACCGTTGTATGCTTTCGACTATGGAGACGTACGGCACGAAGTGCTGTCATCCATCACCTCCTGTTCCCTATAGACACCTTTCAAAGGCAGAACTCGTCTTATGAAGCGGATGTCCGACATCACAAGTTCATCCACATCAGGGAACACACGAAAACGAAAGTAATGGACTCACAAAGAGGGTGTGTTCACTTGTTGTGCGCCTCGCCAAAGACTGTACAATATATGTTCCCGCTGTAGCCTAGAGCAGAAATGACAAAAGGCTGCTTCGGTAAAGCGACATGCACACGGCCAGGTATGGAGAATAATGCCCGCCCTAAATTAAGCTATAGTAAACAAACAGGGATCACGTGTAGACAATAGCTTCCACCCGTCTTGCCCCACTCGAAAGCTGAATCATAAACAATTTTGGAGTGCACATTCATCGGTACCATGTCGAAGATGCACTGTTGTTCAGCAGCAGAAACGGCTAGATTAATTCACCCTGCACTGTTTCGGAGCATCACGTTAAACCCGTGCCTCGTGCTGGAGTTATTGTAGTCTGGGCTAGACTTTTGTCCTCGCAGTAGCACTTCTTGGTGCTGGGCATTGCCAAATGCTGGTGCTGTTACCATTCGCTTGTGGGCTGTTGCTCAGCTGTTCGTGGGAGACTCCGGGCTGCCTGTGGAAGCTTGGACTGGCTTGAGACCTGAGCATCATGCCAGACAGGCGCGAAGACTACATCGCCGATGTAATCGCTAGCTTGAGCAGTGAGGTGCGAAGCCTCCAAATGCATAGTTCCCGTCAGGGTTGCAACTGGCACCTTCCACTTTGGTCAAGGCTACATGATGAAGCCATTTGAACTGCTATGCCCGGTAGCACGCTCGAGACCGATGGTGATGTCGAAGGAAAATCAAATTGCCCGTAGCACACGATTGATGGGGGACGACGGTGTCAGGAAAGAAGTGGAATTACGAAGCTTCGACCAACGTCTAACGTACAGAATCTCTGGGCTCGGATCCCTGCAAGGCTGAGGCAAGAATACCATTTCATGCTGTGTTTCAACGGTCTAGCGTGAGGGTATTCTGAGCAGGCGTCCCCTCGGCCTACCCTGTGTGGAACGGGGCGTTGTAGCCAGTTCACCAGCAACCAGCACCGGTTTCGCTTCCAGTGTAACACCTGTCACGTTGCCTCTTATATCCTGTCTTCTGGGGATGGATATCAGCCCCTCTTTCTCCGTGCTGCTGCAACTGCAGCAAATAGTTCTGACGATGTGGCAAGGAAAAAGTCCAATATCTGGAATGTGACTCATAGCAGACCCGTGGACGGTGAGAAAAAATGTTCAGCTGTGTCGCTGGACCCCCAATAAGACAACTCATCGAAGGCGTGGAAACAACCGAAGAATTCTGCTTCGGCCTTTCTTTTACAGAACAGCACGAGGGACGAGATTCTCCGAGCTGTGCAGGGGAGAAAAGAGTT